TGAAGAGGTTCTACTCAACGGAAATCACTGATTTCATCGGAATATTGATTCAGCTATTCCGATGAAATAGTTAGCCCCAATAAGTTCACATTTCTACTTGGTCAGCCACAGTGCACTTCACGTGAATGCCGAGTGTTCACCAGGAGAAGCTCCACCAAACGCTTACAGGAGCCTCACGTTACGATTACGATTGAGCTTATAGGGTCGTGAAAGGCATTGCTGGACGTTCTACTAGCGTTCCCGAGCATGCTTAAGGCTTCATGAACGATGCAATAGAAGGCCGATACTGGGCGTTATGCAACGATTGGAAATCTCCCGCAGATCAGCGAGGGACTGTGCTACTCTCGAGTCAATCTGGGAAAATAAGTACTCAGCGCTTCTAAGAAGTAGTCGAATGGGAATTCCGAAAGAGCAGATCACAAGCTACGCTGCATTTTCATCTTCCTGACGGCATCTTACCCCTACTTTGAAAAGAGGCTGAAATATGATGCGCACAGCAGTGGGTGCATTTTCGCGCCGCAGCTCGCATTGCGAAGCTTACCGCAAGGTTGTCGAATTGTGAGCTTAACGTTAGGAATCAACCCAATTTCGGACCAAGGTCAAGCATAGCATCAAAGAAGATGGATTGGTAGAACGCACCCACCTACTTCGGCATGACCGTGTGTTAGCTTCCATAAGCGCTTAGCAGACTAAACTATTTGTCGCTCGTAGCTAGTCGACTTGTGCAGGTCTGGAGTTCGGTAAACAGTGATGTGTATATCTGCTAGTCTTCGAAACTCAAACGCATTCCGGTGCGCCTGCCTTTCTGTAGCGCTTGCACAGAGCAGAAGGGTTGGTGAAATCTGAGCAATGAAAGCTGTGCTGTGACTATAAGGCTTATATAGAGAAGTGGGTAAATGTAATCTGCGAAGCATAATCATAGTTCCACCTATGAATCTCACAAAATTCCGTCTTCCACGACGTTTTCAAAAATGCCCCATACAAAAAATGTTGTCATTATCAATACCAATTCGCATGCTAACACAAACATTAACTTGGAAAAAAATTTTTTTCGTCAGTTTTTTGAAAATGATCGTTCTGACAATGCAGCAGATAGTTTCACCGAACAAATCGAATAATTCAACGACAAGTGTGCAACAAAAAGAATAAATTTTGATCCAGTAATCTATTGAATTCTATTCTTCGATTAACTTGGAAAATACGGTTGCCCATGCTCGATTAGAGATTTTCAATAGGCTTTTGGCCGACTGCACCAATGATTCCCTGACTCCCTAAACTCACGGACGGATTGTGGAATTGTGCATTGTTTGCATGGATCATACGCGCCATGAAACCCCTCACATCCTCGATTGGGTTTCAGTCGGGGCTAATCGCTGGCCAGGGCAAAAGAGCGGTTTGGGGACGAGTGAATCACGCTCGAGTGCTTCGACTGTCATGAATTCGCGCATTATCTTGCATGAAAACGACACTCTCTTGCTGATTTCCACACCAGAAAGGAAGACTCTTCGTCGCATGCGTCGCATGACGTTTAGATAGTCGGAAGAAATCATTTTTTTTTCGCATACCGAGCAAAGTTTCACACGTTCCATTCATGCGATGGCAGCCCAGACCATGAGACCACGTCCTCTGAAATTCGGAAAAATGAAACTTGTCTTCCCTCAGGTCGTGCCAGCGGAATCAGTTTTCGTCGGAGCCGTCGCAGTTGAATTTTTTCTCGTCAGGAAATACGACCGCGAGAAAAAAAAACTGAAAAAACAACACAGACAAGCAGTAGGGCACCACAGCCAAAAGCCAACCTCACTCCATTGAGTTCGGCATCATATTCGGGCAAAGCCAATCTGGTGTTCGCGGTGGTTTTTTGTTAGGAACAGTACGTAACTCATATTCCTCCTATGGGTGAACTCGGGAGTTTTTAAGAGACGCCTAACAGTATCATCCGAGACATTACCCTGCGAAGATGACTTTATTTCCCGACACGACACTGCAGAGTTGGAGCTTTCCTAAGGATACGGCGGTTATTCCGATACGGCAGTAAAGGAGGATGTCCAGAGCTCTTCTCAACTCAATATCCTGTAGGTTCCTTGACAAAAATTGCTGATAACATAATGACTGCGGCCCAAATCCCGTGCGATTCGACGGTTCGATAGTTTTTGAGTCTTTTGCAATAGTCTGTCCATTTTCGAGATTTGTTAATGAACTTCCAATCGCCGTAGCCTAGAAAAGGCAGTCATAATGACGAGAAACTTTACCTCACAAAAATGAGATACAACGGGAAAATATGCGGTGGAACTATCATTTTGCTGCATTGTCAGAAAGACCACATTTCAAAAAACTAAAGAAAAAATCGTTTTTTTCAAGTCAGGGTTTGGTGTTGGCATGTGAATCGGTGTTGGCAATTACCACATTTTTTGTTTGGGGACATTTTGGAAACGTCGTGTGAGACGATATTTTGTGAGATTCATGGGTGGAGGCAACTGCAGGATCAGCGCCATCGCTCAGTCTGCAGCCAACAAAGCCCCTTCATACGGCAGCGTTCATGCTTGTAGCGCTACAGCGTCGCGCTACAGCGTCGCGGCGTCGCGCTACAGCGTCGCGCTACAGCGCCGCTTGTCAACGTACTGCTATCTCCAACGTTAGGATGATTAGAGTTGCTTACAGAGAAAAGTGCGAAAGTTGCTGGAGTTCTCTTGAGAAATTCACGGAAAGGTGAGACTGATACAGCTGTAACTATCTGACGCCATCCTTGACAGTTACTCCATTAATCACTATTCTTCTGGGACTGCTTTCAGCGTAACAGTGCTCTTCTGTCCTCATAAGAGCATTTTCTGCAAAAAACACCCAAAGAGTACTCGCGCCACCTAAAAACACGCACGCATGTTTTTTTTTTGCCGGAGGCACAAGAATCATAAAGGAACTTCTTGTTTGCCTTGTGTTAATGCATTGGTGACCAGACAGTCTTCGCGTGCCTGTTGTGGGAGATAAGACCATTTTTTTCTGCAGCGACAAACAAACTAATATGCTCCTAGGCCAAAAAAAGTACAAGAAACTGTCAAAGCTTTGTTGGCTGTGAATGCCTCGAAAAGCGGCATAAATCTTTCAACTGTGATCCAGGCAGAGATTGGGGGCGAACTCGAGAAGCAGATTTCGCTCCATAATCGATAAGCGGCATAGGATTCTGTATCAAACCTCTTCTCTTTGTTTCTCATATTTAACTGATAGTGAGCTCCTGTTTTCTACTTTATCACATTTTAATGAAGTTTTTGAACACAGAAGACCGTTATAATTGGTTTTATTTACCGTTTTTGACTTTAATTATTTGGTTTCAGAGTTGCTATTGATGTTTGATGGCTTTGCTTGATGCCTTGCAGTGGTGCCTCACGTTGACTCCGATGACGAAATAGTTTTTGGCATCCACGTACAGATGGCAAGCCATGATGTTTTTAGGGGCGCGAGTACTCTTTGGGTGTTTTTGCAGAAAATGCTCTTATGAGGACAGAAGGACACTGTTACGCTGAAAGCAGTACCAGAAGAATAGTGATTAATGGAGTAACTGTCAAGGATGGCGTCAGATAGTTACAGCTGTATCAGTCTCACCTTTCCGTGAATTTCTCAAGAGAACTCCAGCAACTTTCGCACTTTTCTCTGTAAGCAACTCTAATCATCCTAACGTTGGAAATAGCAGGACGTTGCGAAGCGGCGCTGTAGCGCGACGCTGTAGCGCGACGCAGTAGCGCGACGCTGTAGCGCTACAAGTATGAACGCTGCCTACCCGCCAAATACACTGCATGTTGCCTCATGGGTCGAATTACCTTCTCGTACAAGATAACCAGTACGCAGTTCCGAAGTTTTTCCATTATCGCAGTTCAAAAGTGAGTGTGGTCGGGAGGGGCATTGAAAGTGAGATAAGGCGCAGCCGCGATAATCCCGTAACTCTCCGATTGAGAGATTTACGGTGTTCCCTACCCATGGGACCTTGTCTGCTGGATTTATGTCCTCTCATCCCTTGTCAAGAATGGTGAAATGCTGCTCCGAACTATGGCATAAGCCCTGCGTATAACGTGTAGCAAAACGTCACATGCCTATTAGACACTGGAAAATCTAAGCGAACATGAATATAAGCCAATTACGCTGCGCCATGAAAACTGGATCTTGACCATCTATGATCACTTTCAGATATCGGAAGCTGCAGATGAACGAATGTAATTAAAGCTCTCTTTGATTAAGCAGCATGAAAGTACACCTTGACATAACTTGTGTAGGAAGTGGAGTAGTGACAGGTGGCCCGCTCATCACAAACGGTTCGGTGTTGAAACGAGATTGGGCTGCTGGCTAGATCAAAAGTGCCCTCTATCTCCTCTAGTGCTCCGAAAATGGTAAATTGGTACTAATCTCTTCTGAGGATGATAAGATTTTCCTGTACATCTCTTGACCTTTACGAGTCGCATTGTGTAGGCCATAACGCACTCGAGAAGCGACTAGGATTCTGAATTGAATGCGAATCCCTTTTTGAGACGCGTGCGTCTTCCCAAACAAGGGTTCATCAACAGCGAAAGCCTTATCCTCTACACCTTGACGTTCGGATCTCTATCCTGTCATTTCATGCACGCCTCCCAGCATTCCCAAATCCATGGCCAAAGATTCAAGGCCGGAGAAGTTTTCGCCACTATTTCTCATCTAATTCACTAAAGCAACTTGTTTACAAGAACTATTAACGGCGTATGCGATTAATGGGGGCGGTCGCCTTTCGTCATAAGTCCCCGCTCCCCGCCTACCGTATATAAAGATGACATCAGTTGCTGTGACCATGTCTCCGCATGAAAACTAGTACCTTATATTTTTACTCCTATTTCTTCTTTTTTCTGTTGTATTGCTATGCGGTATATCTCCTGTTCATCTATATCCATCCTAGTAACCTTTTTTGTGAATAGTTTTGATCCCGTCACCGATTTGGTAATCATTTTAAGGCTCACCAACTTCACATTATTCCCAACGCTTCCAGAATGAAGTTCTCCGATTGCGTTTTGACGATGGTTGGCGATTTTGCCGCCATGAAACGTACACCTGACTATAAACCGGCGTCACATCTCCCAGGAACCCCGCCAACGAAGGAACCCGAAAAGCCCAGTAATGGTCCACGAAGGCACTCCTTACACATCAGCGTTGGCACGGGTACTGATGTCTTTCATTCTTAGTCACTTGTGAACTTCCGTAGAATTGTGTGGGTGAGTGGGCTAACATTGTTTTCCTCCACCTTGAAAACTCGTTTATGACGCGCTGATGCGATTGTTTCCATGTACCATGGGTTGCGTTGGAGTGCTCTTATCGTGTTGTTTGGTTGTATTCTGGCTTCGTTCACGGCCTTTCTGCCAGCTACAGAGGGAAGGGCGGAGAGGAACCTTTTTGGTACTTGGAAACTTGACAGTGGTCAAAGAAAGAAAGCAGGAAACGGTTTTTTTGAAGAGGTTTTGAGTTCCGCAAATTTACGGCGATTGCATAGCATGAAGATGCGAATGTTAAGTGCCTTTCAGCCGATTAAGCGATTCACCCATAGGTCTATAGATTCTATTAGACGCACCGCGAGAAAAGGAGTCACCATAGTGAAAGTACGACAGAACCGGGACCACTCACAAAACAAATGAAATCAGAAGTAGCCCCTGACAAAAACTTTATAGATTCAATACTGCATGAGCAGGCGCAACGTTACAGTTTGTGGGTTCGCGGAAGAGGGTGAAACTCGAAGCGAGTAGCACTGATAGGTCTCGCAGCGCCAGAATCAAGCATATATAAATAGATGATGTAGACAATCCCATTTCGTTCATTCGCGAATGAGAGGGTGGAGGGAGAGGAATGCAGCATGGTAAATGCGGAGATCACTAGTGAACTGTGCAGTGGCCGCGTCTTTGAGGAAGTAGAAGGTTGTGAGACTCATAAGACCCAGTTGCGTTTAAATGCACCTGGTTTGCCCTCAGTTCGCTTCTCCACTCTCCGCTAAGCATGCTATCTAAAGGAAAGCGGTTGAGGTGGGTAAGACGTCGTGTCTTTCCTCCATGAAGCGCTCCCCTTTTGAGCATAATCCTCGAATCCATCGAGGACCATGCCCAGTAAATCAGCACTTTACGTTTTATGGGATAACCAACCTTGATGCGCAGCAGTTGCTTTTAAACAGCAAAGAACTTTGATATGGGTGCGTAGAAGGAGTCGTATGCCGTCACAGGCATATTGATAGCGCTGCCCTCCTCTCTCCAACCCCTCTCCCCCACCTCTCCCGATACCATGCTTGATCCTGCCTGGGATTGCGGTCATATACTCAACTTTCATTCGCAGTCAGATACGTAGTTGGATAGTCTAGTTGGCCCATGACATTCAGGCTTTTCAACAGACTACTGAGGAGCGTTAAAAATTTCTGTTCTACTTCTTCCAGTAATGTATAGCTAGGGCACTATTCCTCAGTTGGGACGTTGATTGACATTCCGAAATGATAACTTAAAAAACTGTATACATTCACCAACTGGTCTATTAACCGCGGATTGTTTTAACCACTATCCTTTTCCATAGCTTCCCCAGTCATGCGATATGGAATGGGATAGCTGTAGAAGAGATGAAAGAGACTAGTGGTCAAATAAAACGAATTACAATCGTATAATAAGTATACTACCTCAAAAATGTGTGGAAACCAAAGCTGGAAATTTTCAAAACGATTTTTACCTAAACTGTGGATCGAAGAGAGCTTATGAATGGCTTTACAGGAAGAAATACCGAGACTAACTCGTCCACGATCGGAGTCCTTTTGTTCATCAACACCGCCTGCCGAGTCCAAGCTCTATGAAAAGGCCCCTAGAAGGTGAGAAATAGGAACTGTTCGTAGAATCCCTCCTGAAAAGAGAGTATAAGATTATTCGTCAAAAATAAGTTTTTGAGAGTATCGGCGCCCTGCATTTCGACGTCTGGCGCCTCGACCGCTTTGAGGAAGAAGCTACAAAAAATGCGCGACGACAAATCCGTTGAATCTGATGAGCTCGCACTGAAGGAGTCTGATGAGTCTGGAGAGGATTCCCAAACAGAACAGGTAAGTACCTTAACGGAATCCCTACTAAACGATTGGTCAGCAGACGACTCGACTCAGGGCTTCTTTAGAAAGATGTTGCCATTTCAACAAAACCATTTCGCCTATTCCGATATAAAAACGCCAAACTTCGGGAGCTGTTCCTCTTAGGGGAGCATTTTCTAGTTCGATAGTTTTTCTTATCCTGTCAACTTACACGTCTCACCTTGATCAATATGCAGGCTCTTGTGAAGTGTAAGTGAAATTCTTTGAACAGTAGAGCTTTAATACAGTTGGGAACCAGCAAAATACCCACACCAAGCTGCACTGTGCCGAAAGTTGTCCGCAAACCTACCCATGAAGTGTGCCTTTTATGCCCACTATTGTCTACCTGCTCACTTTTCAATTTCAGGCGAATGGCCGACCACACCCAACCTCTCCCAGGAAGTTGTCTACCTACATAATCTAAATGGATGGCGTAGAAAACAGTACTCCTACCGTAGGCAGTCATCGTACTCATGCCCCATTGTTTTCATGTACACATTTTAGCGTTACTGTACAGAGATGTTATTCGCTTTATGTTTACCACCGGGTTGTTCATCCCTCATCAGTGCATGTAAATCTCTTAAGTGAATAATCCAATATTTAACCGACAGTACGGTAGAGATTGGTTTTCTGTGCATGTTGATGTAATCACTGGGAGAATATTCGAAAAATTTATTAATTCTTAGAACATGTATATGTATTATAATATATGCTATCGATAGTGATACACTTTAAGCTCAATAAAAGGCCACTTTGAGGAGCGGAATGTGTGTTAGGCGAAGAACAGAGGAATGAGGGCACTATACAATTTCAATTCACAAGCGATTGGAGGATTGGACGAGTTTCCTTCGGTGGTGGAGGAGCCGATACAGAAGGGCGATCAGTCCTTCGACTTTGCTGTGTAATACATCCAGTAAATCAGGTTACAGAAAGTGAAGCTGATTGGAAACAACTTCTGACAGAACCTGAAACATTTAGAATCAAGAAGAAGTAGTCGAACCACGTATACAGAGAACACACAACACGCCTGAACCGGAGAAGCCTCTTTGGAGCTCTTATATAAGTCTTGTGTACTCCAAGAACTTTAGGAACAAACAGTTAAAGACATTTTCCTAAGCTAGAGTGCCAAGACGCGACTTTGCAGTAAAAGTAAGTAATCAACATAGATCGGCGCTCTCGGCACTACTTTTCCCACGATATAGGGAACGCCGTGTAGGAGGTGCAAATTCCACTCCGTAGGTTTCACCCTGACCCTCACCCTGTTACCCTGACGTTCACCCTGACGTTTTTCTCGCAGATTAAGAAGTATGAGGCTCTGGCGTAAATTGCAGATAGGTCACAACCGTCTCAGCCACTTCAGTCTTCGTCTCAACATCAAGAAGGCAAGACTATTGGTTGTGATGACTCATCCAAGTCGGAGGTGAAGATTTGTCGAAGACCATCCTCTTCGAGTACCTAGGGTGTCCTCTTCAAAGCAAGGGTAGCCTGGATGAGGTGATAGAACGAGAGTCGTGGGGTATGGATGGGAAGACATCACTGGTCTACCGTGTGACAGACACATTGCATGGCGCATTGGCTTTCAATCGAGGGCATACCGCAATATGTCCGTCCCCGTACTGCATGATTGCGAAACTGTGTGGCTACGAGAAGTGCAGAACATCAGCTCCATGCCATGTAAATGAGGATGCCGCCACTGGCGATAGGCATTGTAAGCCTTTACCACATGTGTACGATTCACCGACAAGGAGGGGGGCAGTAACAATGTCAGGGAAGATGCAAGAGCGACAAGAGCAGTGGTATAGCCAGGTCTCTTACGTCGCGCCTTATATCGTCAGCGACAGTGCATATCATCGTAAAAAAAGACGGTTATTGGCCCAGACACAACGCGTAGACAACACTGGCAGCACACAGTCAAGGCGGACATGAAACCATTCCTTGCGCAGAGAGGTGCACTAACAAGTCGTAAGTCGTAAGTTGTAAGTCGTGCAGTTTGGCTTTCATAAGTGTAAAAACGGATCTCGCACCAGTGGTAGAACGTTAGGAAGAATAAGCGGCTGAAGGCATCCGTGGAAGACGGCCTGTGACCACTGAGGTATTCCACTTTTGGTCTCGAAAGTGAGCGAAGAAGGCGCTGAAGCCGCTATTGACACCATCCTCCCGTTAAGAGCTGGTGTCTCGCCAGCACTCGCGATAACTCATAGTCCGCACTTCCTGCATATTCCACAGCCAAGGCTCAATACATGTAACAATAGAAAAGAAGATAGGACCGGTTCAGAATCAGCCACCGTTCTCTAGAACTGGTCGTTTGAGTAATCTAGGTAAGTAAAAAGTAATCTGTCCACCACGCAGAACGTGTCTTTTGTACCATTTTGAAGAAAGATCAATTCCGAGAATTCCGCAGATATTAAGATCATTGGGACGCTGAAGTACCCGTCACCTCTATTCATTTTCTTTTTTTCACAGTTTTCAAATGATATCTTTACCAGATCGAGGAGAAATGCATGAGGAATATTAACAACGTTACTCGATCAAGCATAGAAAGTCCTAGAAATTACGAAAAACGGCGCTAATCTATCAATACTTGCATAAAATAAAAATTTTGGATCATTTTTAGTCTCTGGTTCGTTATCTAACACGATCATAGGGCAGCACGGCAATTATTCGGGACATGTTAACCGAGTATTTGCCGCGCACGGTAATCACTGGAATGGTATTGAGGACCCTACTTAGATACGAGTGAGTCCCTTGAGAGGACTTCACCATCGTTTTTTCGAGCTTCTCAACTAGAGAATGCCGTAGAGCTCTCCAAGAGTTTTGTTTCAAAATATTGGGTTGGCACATAAGTAATGGCGTTTTCTTTCAATTGAAAGTTTTGTTAACAAAGTGAAACGTTTTGCGAGCGAGATTTTTTGATATCATCTGATAGAAATCTTCTCGTAGTATAAAAATATCAAAACACCTTTGGTTGAGGGAATAATTTTTGTGAATTTTTTAGTCGTTGAAGTTGAAAGTGAAATCAGCGAAAATCAGCACCTTCGACACCTGCCTTATTTACGTCTACTCGAAGCGCTGAAATCGCTTAAGCTGCTCCATACATTTGGAAAACAGGGCACATCATTGGTTGAGGAATCCCCATGGGGGGGTCGTATATGGCCGCCAGGAGAGGGGGGGGGGTATATTTTGGAATCTTACGGATGAGTCTTATTTGCACTCGTTGCACGGTTTGGTGAAAGCATTGCAGTCGGCAATTGGCGGAGCGACCCACATTTGGCGCGTCGAACACACGACACGCTCCATCATCCATCATCGCAAAGGGAAAACACTGTAAACAAGTGCACAGGTTCGCCAGGATCTCCTGAATCCTATAGACCCATTTGCTCGCGTGGGGCAGACATTACGCAGCAAATTGCACCATTCCTTCAACCTCTGCGCGGACCTCAGTGCGCGGCGCATCCAAAGTCAGCGTGATCGGCGCTAAACGAACCATATTCTGCTCTTGCTCCACCCAGGATACGTTTTTCATGCATTCCTGGTTATTCGAACACGCTCATTGAAACGGTACACAGGAACGGGTTTTTCGCGCAGCTGGGAGTGTTCCCCAAGAAATCCCCGTAGCGAGATCTCATGAATCCCGAGAACTTCAGAAACAGCTCAAGAGGTTTTTAGAAAGAGAAAATCTTTAAAGCACTCGAAACCGTGTCTTCCAGATTGTGTGG